GGTTTGTATCATCTGTTGTCGTCTTTGTTCACATTGTTTTTACTCATTTAAGAAATATGTTTCCAGAATTATACTTAATTGCTGGAAACGTTGATTTTTCTTGAGTGACAAACCAATTAAGTGTGTATGACACCAGGCAACAAAAGACACTTAAGATTCTCTGCTTACTCTGTCTTGAAGAAATCCATTATTCATCATCTTATTGTGTTTAAATACTGAGGTGAAATTTTCAATACAATAGGAAAATTGCTTTGAAAATGGAATAAATTGCTTGCAGTTCAAAGGCTGCATTTCTATAGTTGAGGTTGCTAAACATGATGTTGCTCATATTCTTTATCTTCCAGAACACATCACTCTGCTTTTCCAGCGTTAAATGTGGTGAGATTGTGACTTTTGCTAAAATGTGACATGATTGCCCAGAAAACTTAATGAAAAGACTTAAAAATCTGATTTTGGATATAATGTTATAATATATTTAAGTGGTGTTTGAAATTTTTCACATTTTTGTATCATTATTCATTTTCTAGGTGCCTTTCTTTTTGGTACTGGGGTTTGAACTCAGGGACACTCAACCACTGAGCCGCATTCCCAGTCCTATTTTGTATTTTTATTTAGGGTCTCACTGAGTTGCTTAGCACCTCACTTTTGCTGAGGCTGGCTTTGAACTCGTGATCCTCCTGCCTCAGACTCCCAAATGACTTTAAATGTTGTAATCCTATGCAGAGAAGTTACATAAGAAGTTACATAAAGGAAACAATTTATTTTGGGCTCCCATCTTCACAGATCATGTAATTTTTGCCTGGATCATGTAAAATGTCATTTGCATGTTGTAAGGATGTTCTCTGATGGTATCTAGAGTAGTTGGAGTTGTTGGTGGAAGATGGTATGGAGACAAAAAAATGAGTAGCATTTTCTTCTCTTTTTTAATATATTTTTTTTAGTTGTAGATGGACACAATGCTTTTATTTTTATGTGGTGCTAAGCCTCGAACCCAGTACCTTACATGTGCTGGGCAAGAGCTCTACTACTGAGCCCCAAGAATAGCATTTTTATTGGTGAATTAGAATGTTCAAAGAGGGTGAAAACAAGTGACTGCTATTTCTCTTAGCATAGTTAGGTCGAACAGAAGTTCTTCTATCATTTTTAGTGACAGTATGGTGTTCCATTGTATACTTAACCAGTTCTTTAAACATTAATGCTTTTTCCTTTTCCTTGGTTACTCTTTCAAGCAGCATGGTATGGGGATGATCATCTTTGAAGATACATCTTGTGCACATTTAATTTCCATGGGCAATTAGAACCTCTAGTTGGTTTGTGATGCTGCTTCACAAATTGTTCACTGCTCTTGCTGCTACTGTGGGTGTCCGTCCAGCCAGACACTATGGGGCACACCGGTAATCCCAGCGACTCGAAGGCTGAGACGTGAGGATTGCATGTACAAGGTTATCCTGGGCACTTTAGCAAGACCTTTTCCGAAAGTAAAAATAATTAATAAAAAGGGTGGTAGAACACCTGTTTAGGATGAATACCTGGGTTCTAGTCTCAGTACCCCCAATTTTTTTTTTCCACTTGACAGTCAAAGAAAACATTATCCCTTCTTGTTTGAATTTATATTACTTAAAAGACCTTTTTGGAAACAAATTATTTCCACACATGAGACCTTTTAATGGCTTCCCATTATGCCTGAAACAATACTGAAACTCTTGGTACCTTTCTAGCACTGTGTGCCTGGTCCTGCCCATCTCTTGCTGTCCTGCTGCCCAAGGTCTCTGCAGCCCTCACTGGTCTTCCTAGATCTTTAGTGGATGGCTGCTCTCCATAGGTGTTACCTCTTAGGAGGACCTCCTAGGTGATCCAAGGAAGACCTTTCCAGTCACTTCCATTCGTGCCACCCTGCCTGTTGTTCTAGTATTTTTCTCTGTAATTGACTGTGTACTTCCTGTTACTGACCCTGCAGGATTGGAGCTTTAGAGGAGAGGGCCTTGCTGTCAATTGCTTTTTTTTTCTTATGCTGCAGGTATTTCCCCCAGTGTCTGATTTGCTTTAAAATTATTTTTCTTCAGGGATCTGAAGTGTTTGGCCTGCTATCTGGCCATGTTCAGTACTCAGTAAATTTCAGTCCTTGTCAGTTGTGTCCATTTTCCCTGGCCCTCAGGAATTGTTTTTGGTTTTGGTCCTTGGTTTGAGTAAGGAGCCTATTCTCCCAAAATTTGATGTTATGAAGGAACTTGCTCTTTTTTGCTTTGAGTGTGAGGATTTGTTTTTTCCTTTTTGGCTTACAGCTTATTTGTAAATGTAGTCCCCGCCCCCCCAAAGTATATATGGATTTCAAAAAAATCTTTCAATTAATAATGATTAAAATCCATTGTGATGACAGAGCCCATTTTATGTGATTTTAGTTATTTGTTAGGGTTGGTGTTCTGACCCAGGATAGGATCTGTGGGTGAGTGATTTCTTTGTGTATTTGAAGAGAACAGTATTATGCTGTTATGGGTAGTGTTTTCTATAAATGCCGGTTAGGTTAGTTGCTGATGTGGGTTGTACCTTTATATCCTTTCTGATTTTTCTTTTTCCTGTCAGTTATTGAGAGAAGAGTTTTAGTCTTCAAGTACCACTGGATTTCCCTTCCATTTGTATTAGCATTGCTTCATGTGCTTTGAAGCTTTGGGCCTGGCTAGGTGCATATACATGTATAATTGCTAGATCGTGTTAGTGATTTAATTCTTTTACCATTTGTGATGTCTTCCTTTATTCTGGCAAGTTTTTTTTTTATGTTAATATGGCTATTTAGTTTCTTAGTGTTTGCATCACACATTGTTTTCTATCCTTTTATTCTCTAAGATCTTTTGATACATATTGTGTTATAGTTAAGTTACTTCCAGTATGTGGTGATTTTTGTACTCCAGAGACATTTTTCATTGTCCTGCCAAGGCAGTGATTCTGTTCAACATTCTGCATGCACGGGACAGACCCCCACAGTAAAAAATTCTGTGGCATGAGTTGCAGTGTAGGTGGCTGACTCTTCACTGCCTGCTCAGCTTACCATCCTACCACTTCATATGAACTGTGGAGTGCCTGCTCCTTATGTTGTATGGTCACTCGTATTCCAGCCTCTTCACATTGAAAACAGTGTTATACTTCTTGTTTTGAATTGTTATTCTTGTCTTAAAAGACCTTTCTGTTGCTCTTTTTTTCCTGGAGTTCTGGGTTCCTTCTGGTATTATATTTTCTTCATCCTGAGACTTGCTTTGGCATTCTTTTAGGGCAAATCTGCTGCTGAAAACAAACTTTCTGTTTTCCCTTATCTGAGAATGTCACTGTCTTGTAGGATGTAGCATTCTAGGTTGGCAGCTCCTTTCTTTCAGTTCCCCTGGGGGCTGGGGTTGTGGCTCAGCAGTAGAGCGCTCACTTGTGCAAAATAAAGGTATTGTGTCCAACTACAACTAAAAGATAAATATTTAAAAAAACCCCAAAAAAACAAAAAACAAAGAACATTAATTCCTCTGTCTTTTGGGCCTCTGATTTTCCTCCACCAGAGAGATGCCCCCATGCATTTGAATGGACGTCCCTGGCTCTGTTGGTTTGAAATACTCATCTTACTCCTTATGTGTATGTTAAGGATTTCAATATTCTCTTAGATATGTTTTTGTTATAGGTTCTAGCTGGTTCTTTTTATGGCTACTTAGCTGAGAGCAGTGGCACATGACTGTAATCCTAGTAACTCAGAAGGCTGAGGCAGGATGATTACAAGTTCAAGGCCAGCTTGGGCAATTAGTGAGACGCTCTCTTGAAAACAAAATTAGAAGAACTTTGGAACTACTTAGGATGTAGTTCAGTGGTAGAGTGCCCCTCAGTTGAGTCTCTAGTAATGCAGTAAAAACCAATAAAAACAGAAAATGGATTTTGGAGATTGTGAGGAGAGATTTCAATTTCAGTGACTACCATTGTCACACACCCATCTCAGAAGTTTTGTTTTCTTAATTTTCTTTTTGTATTGGGGATTGAACCCAGGGATATTCAACCACTGAGGCACATCCCCAGCCCTTTTTTGTATTTTATTTAGAGACAGGGTCTCACTGAGTTGCTTAGGGTCTTGCTAAGTTGTTGAGGCTGGCTTTAAACTTGATCCTCCTGCCTCAGCCTCCTGAGCTGCTGGGATTACAGGCATATGCCACCTCACCTGGCTGTTTTCTTAATTTTAAAATTGAGATGATATATAGCATGTGAGCTCCATGTAAAATTAAGATAGCAATTATTGAATTGCCATTATGGTTTCTGACACTGTTCTCAAAAAGGTGAATTTTTATTTTGTAAAGAGATTATTTTTGTGATTGAGGAAAGCCAAAGTGACAGTGTGGATGGTGGGCTGCTGTTTCTTGGGATGGGAAGAGATCTTTTGCCCTCTAAAACATATTCTACTTGTTGATATTTTTTTCCTTGAGTAGAACATTTTAGTAAAGGCACTGATGAAGACAGAATAAATTGGACATAGCACTGTTCCCTGTGTGTGTCAGTATATCAACTCTGAAACAAACTCAAGGATGGCGTGAGAACTTTCAGTCTATAGACAACTATACTTTGTCAAAAATCACTTCAGGAACTCTGGTAACTAATATGTGACTGAGGGTTTAGCTGATACTTGTAGCCTTAAATTTTTGGCTGATGGCCATATTTGTATGATTACTTTTACTATTCCTGACTTGAATGCAGTGAGTGAATGTTGGGCAGGCCTGCAGAGCTGTCATCCAGCCATGCATGTGGAGGTGTCTGGGACTGCGGCATGGGTATTGTTGGCCTCTCAGCCAGCACTGGCTTCCTGGTGTAGACTGGTTGCCTGTTTACCTGGGCAGCTTGGTTTTCTGCACTGCTGTTTATGAAAGCAGCTCCATTTGAAGAAATGATAACCAGCAAGTAGTAGGTAGCGGTTGTCGTAAACGAATCCCACGCTGTTACAGAAGAATGCTTGGTCTGCTCAACTCTCTGTTCCTGCCTTTAACTAGGTACCAGCTGGAGGATGAGTCTGCCCATTTGGACGAGATGCCACTAATGATGTCTGAAGAAGGCTTTGAGAATGATGAAAGTGATTACCACACGCTGCCGCGAGCCAGGATAGAGCGAAGGAAAAGTGGTCTGGAGTGGTTTGTCTGCGGTGGATGGAAGTTCCTCTGTTCCAGGTTTGTCATGCTTATGAGCTTACCAGCTAGTATAACTGCAAGATGTATTGATAAGTCTCTATAAAAACCAAAGACACTGGGTTGTCACAGAGAGTACTTAGAACATTAGTCAGACCAAACAGTGCTAATCAGAAAGTCAGGGAAAACCAAGTTCATTATTTTATAAGACATTTAAATAGTTAAAAGCTGAGGGAAATTAGTGGCTTTGTAATTAACGCATGGCGGAATTAATTCTGGTCACTGTATCAACATTTATAAATGGCATTCCTTTCTTATCCAAAAAGATGGAGATGGACCTATAACATGCAGCTTAATAGCACTGTAATTATGTGTATTATTCAGCTTTAGTGCTTTGACTTGGAATAAGACTCTTCTGTAGGTTTAGCCAGCAAGATATTAAGACGGAAACTCCTATTTAAGACAAGTTTCCTGGTGCTAAGATAAACTGGTGTGGTTTGCCTTTGAGTAAACTCTGGCAGGTGAAAGAGCTCTGTGCATCTCAGACACCTTTTTCTCCTGCCACCAGAAGCAGGGAGCAAGAGCTACAAGAGCTAAGTGAAGCCCTGTGACTAGAGCAGAGCCTGTCCAGTGCATCATGCTCATCACAGAGTCTTCTTCAGCCCTTGTATTGTCCATAAAAGGAAGGTGAATATTTTTAAAGACAGGTTTTGTTTTTCATGCTTTTCATCATTCTTTTGCAAGTTTGCACAAAGATGTTCCTATTGCCGATTTGATTTCTGGGTCAGCTTGCGAGGTGATACTCACTGTTTTGTGGAACTGTAGGAAATTGGCAGCATAGAGAAAGGAGAAGAGCAAGATTTAGCTTTAACTCCCTATTTAACTTTCAATCAGATCATAACTATCCTTGTCCTTGTTGTATATCACAGGCTTTCATGTAAAGAAAGAATTTCATAGTTAACCAATGTTTTAAAAATTGCTGATGGTGGGATACTAATTAATAAGAAGTCTCTGTGACTTATTGAAAGCATTTTCTAGTTAAGTGGCCAATATTCCAAGATACCCGGAGTGGTCTTTGTGGGTACATACTTAGTTGTAGGGTCAATTTTTTAAATAGATTTGGGACTACAGTTATTTTTTTATTTGTTTTTCTTGTGTCAGTTATGATGGGGATATGGCTTGGTGGTTGAGCACCCCTGGGTTCAATCCCCAGTACTAAAAAAAAAAACAAAACACTGAATGAAAACACTGGACGAATTTCCATTGAAAGACCAGCAATCTTTATTCCAGCTTTTGAATGAATTTATTCATGGTCTTTTCCTGTGATCTGTTGAATGTGTGGGATCTGCAGTGATGTCAACTTTTAAAATTTATAGAGCTCAGGCAGAGTAGGTTTAGTATAATTCTTAGGGGCCCTAGGATTTTTTGGAATGATATATGAATGATTTTTTGGAATGACATATGAACATTGGCTGCATTAGTCCCTATCAAGAGAATCAGCCTGTACTTTGAAGCTTTGAAACAGGTAATTGCTTGTTCTCAGCTCCCTTCAGGGAAGTCACCATGAAGAGCACTAATTTTTCCTCTCCAGCTGTGACAGACCTAGCTAGCATCTTTTTCCAATGGAAGACTATATTATATCCACATCGAGCATCTTGTTAGTGTAGATACCATCATCGTTTGTCTTCTGGAATACTTGTAGCTTCTGCCAAGTACTTGCTGCTTCACCTTGTATTTTTATATTACAGAGACTTTACCTTAAACAGAGGTGAACCAACCTCTGTTCTCTTGGCTTCAAACTTTTCTTCTGCATTTACCTCACCTCTCAGCCTTCATGGAGTTGAAGGGAGTTGGAACCTTGCTTTGAATTTAGCTTTGGCTGTAGGGAATGTGTGGCTGTTCTGCTCTTCTGTTCAGACCACTAGAACTTTCTTTATGTCAGCAGTTAGCCTGTTTCACTTTCTTATCATTTATGTATGCATTGGAGCAGCTCTTTTAATTTTCTTCAAGAACTTTTCCTTTGTATTTATACCTTTGTTGCAACAAACCTTCAACCTTTAAAGATGTTTCTTGTCTAAAAATGTTATTAATTTTTTTTAAAAAAATATCTATCTTGTATTAAAATATAAAACTAATCAGGAGGGTTGGTCTGATACAATTCTGTCAGATTTGGACATGTAAGTTTGAGAGTTCTTACTGTGCTGATACTGGAAGCCTCAAGGAAGGTTGTTATCCTTGAAAGTGCACCTGTTGGGCTGGGGATGTGGCTCAAGCGGTAGCGCGCTCGCCTGGCATGCGTGTGGCCCGGGTTCGATCCTTAGCACCACATACAAACAAAGATGTTGTTGTGTCCGCCGATAACTAAAAAATAAATATTAAAAAAAAAAAAAAAAAAAAGAAAGTGCACCTGTTGCCAGGTCTATGAAGAATAAAGGAGATAGGGACTTTGGCAGTTGGAAGAGGGCAGGAAGAATGAAGTGTTGATGGAGATGACTTTTATTGTGTTCTTATTGGAACTGTGGGGTCACTTGAGTTAGCAGGGGATTAGGATACAGATGAGGACTTAAGATATGAGAAAAGTCAGCCAGGCTTTGCTAGCAATTGCTAGTAATCAGCAAAGGAAACTCAATACACATGAATTTGTAGTGATTGTGGCATATTTTATGGCTGTTTGTCTGTCGGGGAAGAGCCTGAACCTTTATATAACTGGTTGTGAAAGCATGGGCGGGGAGCTTCTGTGGGACTGAGGCCCACAGTATTGTGAACTGAGTAGATTGTAGTGGGCTACTGATTACTACCAGTTTGATGGCTGTGGGGTATATCTCAGAGGCATGAGTTCCCCACAAGTGTGGGTTGGAGGTAGTATTTTTCCTCTGCTCTGTAAGGCGCCTTCTTCAAAAAAGGTTGGTGTTCCTACTACTATAGTTAAGACCTGGCAAAGTCTCTCTCTGGACAGGTGAGGGTCAGGCCAGCCCTTTTTCTGTTCCCTGGGAAAAGTGATAGGACAAGAAGATGTGGCCTGAATGAGCTTGATCCTGATTTGCAGTCTTCGAAGTGCAATGGCTATTTGGTAATTGCCTGTTCTCAGCTCCCTTCAGGGAACACTGGATTGAGAAGGCTGAGGGTTTGTGTTCAGTGTGTCAGGAAGTCCTCTAATGTGGGTGGAGACTGAGTTGCTGAAATCCTTGAGGCTGTGGGAATGAGCACTAATGGGCACTAAGCCACAGGACACAGACATGTTCCTGGTGACAGTTGCTTGACAGGGGTATTATATGTTATGGGATGGGGCTTACTTGACCATGCTAGCAGCAGTCCTGCCAGCCTATACTGGTCAGCAAGCTGCAAAGAATTGTGGACTTGCAGCGCTGTCAGGCTCATCATTATTATTGAACTAATATTTTGCCTTTTTTTAATAGAAAAAATGTTAACCATATGGAACATGACAGCCATGTTTTGAATTTTACTTATAGTATACTCCTTTTCTTAGAGAAAATATTAAGAATATATTTGAAAATGTATGTGTTGACAGACCACTCAATTTGGGGGATGGCGAAACAGCTCAATGAAATATCTAGATATTGAATTAAAGATTCAAATATCTTTTAAATCTTTATTTTAATAAATCTGATTCTGTAAGAGCTAAACCGTCCTCACTGGCTCTGTTTAGTCTACATGTTGTCACTAAGGAGGGTCCTGTTGCCATGTGGGATAGGAAGTAACCTGAGATATCTTTAACTCTTGTTCATTAGGTTACATCAAGAAATTGTTATGGAAATTAGAAATTGTACCTTAGTCATATTGTACATTTAGCAACTAGCTTGTTATTATTTTTTGGCCACTTTATTTTCTAAGTACCAGGCATTATAAAATTCGTTGTTATTGAAATTATTAGATAATGATTCAAAGAGGTAGGTACACATAAAATTAGTTTAATTGCAAGAAAAAATGCTAATGATTATTGCAATACAAGTAGATTGTAATTAATATGTAAATATTTAAATATATCTGCATGTGAGATACATTTGAGTAGGAAAGCTTTTTTTTTTTTTTTTAAGTTTTATTTTTTAGTTGTTGATAGACCTTTATTTATATGTGGTGCTGAGAATTGAACCCAGTGCCTCACTCATGCTAGGCAAATGTGCTACCGCTGAGCCCCAGCCCCAACCCAAGGAAAGCTTTTTTTAAATTTTTTTTTTTTTTAGTTGTAGGTGGACACAATACCTTTATTTTATTTTCATGTGGTGCTGAGGATCGAACCCAGTGCCTCACACATGCTAGGCAAGTGCTCTACCAAGCCACAACCCCAGCCCCAATACCTTTATTTTATTTGTTTATTTTTTTATGTGGTACCGGGGATTGAATTCAAGTTCCTCACGCATGCTAGGCAAGCGTTCTGCCACTGAGCCATAACCCCGGTCCAGGAAGGCTTTTTTAAAAATCATTATTCTTCAGGGACTGAGTAGACTCTGATTTCTTCATGACTTAAGACTCACTTTTCATTTTTATTATTTGTCAGAAATACCCACTTGGACACTTTGGGAAAAAAAAAACAAAACTCTGAAATCTTTTAATTAAAACTTTTGAATTTCTTTCATGTGAATGAACATACCTTCCTGTAAGTTGCTCTGAGGCACTAGTTGGTATATGTAGTTCTATGATTCAGGTTGATGGTCATTCTCACGAGATTTACATTTCACTTATTATCAAAAATCACTTTGTCTCTAGGAAAGTGGAGTTGAGATGGCATTTCCATATGAAGAGAAAGGAGAGGGAGTATCAATTGCTGGGATTATTTCTGGTTCTAAATGGCCTCTGTACTTTGAATTAATCTGTAAAACATGTGGGGTACAGAGCCATGGGAAAATGCTGGTCTTTTAAGACAAATGTGAGTACTGTGTTGCTTTTTTCTTAGTAACTAAAGGTACCTATTAGATATAGTAATTGACCAATTTTGGGTGGAGGATGAAGGGAAGGAGGCTGTCTAAATTTTGAGGGTTATTTCATTATGGTTAAAATTTTGGAGCACAGAATCTTAAAATACA